TGAGCCACCAGACCTGACCAAAGGGTTAATTTGAATGTGTTTCTCCTGTTGAAGACTATAAACTCTAGTAAAAAAAAAATAAAATAAAATTATTTCCTGAATCATTTGGTAGTAAATTATATACTTCTTGAGAGTTCTTTCCTAAGTACTTCATCATGTATCTCTTAGGAATAACAGTTTTTATATAACCACATAATATTGACACCTAGAAAATCAAAATAATCCCTTCATGTCAGCTAATAGCATTCCATTATCTGATTTTCAGCAGTTAAGATTTCTGTACATTTTCTTCACTGCAGTATCCCCAACAGCCTGAACAGTCACTTGCTTATAGCAAGTCTTAGATAACAAATTTTTAAATTGGTAGATCTGTATCTCTGATTAAACTGAATTTCTTTAAGGCAGAAACTATAACCTTTTTGTTCCAAATCCCTAGCATAGTACCTGGAATATGGTAGGAACTTTATTAAAAGTTTATATAATTTAACTGAAAGGAAGGACACATTGTATTAATTATAGTTATAAGAGTTGAGGTGACATAGAATTAAGGCAAAATCAGAGAGGAAATAATTCAGGAAGAGAAAAGAAAGCTGATGTGTCTGAGAAGAGTTTGGATCCAAGTCTTAAAGGAAATGGTGTCATCCAGCATGGCACAGAGGAAATCTCTGTTCCACAGATACAGATAATCTTTTTCTGACTTCTAATAAATAAAAGACCTTTGTCCCAAAGGAGAACCTGTGAGGCAGAAAGAAAGCTCAGTTTCTGTCACTACTGTTAAAGACAGCTACTCAAGACCATGAAATAAGTAACATTGTCATGAACAAAAGATGGCAACATTTTCAGAAGATACTGTATCAAACCACACAGCATAACCTAAAATTAAAATATGCTATTGATTTTAGTTGTCTTTCCTTAATTAATTTCTTTATAATATCCAATTACATGAGGGTTTTTTTTTATATATATATATTTTGTGGACCCCACCTTGAACTAGGAGGCAGAAAATCTAGGATGTAACTCTGGTCCTGCCTAGGGAAAGGTGAGTGAGTAGCCTTCTGTCACCACTGCTCCGGGTCTTTGTTTCTTCTTTTTTTTAAATAAAGAAGCTGAATTAGAATCAATAGTTTATAAACTATGTTACTAATAAAATCCTTTTTATGCTGCAATTTTTTATGGGCCATGTTGTCAAAATTCAAAATGCAAAACAAGACACGTCAGAAGTATTGCCCCTAATCTTGAACCTCAAAAATCTAGTCCCATACATTAAATACGCTAAAACTCTCAGATTTTTTTGTGTAGCTTCTGAGGGACATTGTAAGTATAAATAGAAAATGTATTTATAAAATATACATGCATATTTTCTTTTTTAATGAAAATGAAGGGTAGGTTATTTATATCGTTCTATGCTTTGCTTTTTACATTTCATGATATATCTTGGAAATTCTCTCATTATGTAAATAACCCATCCTCTTTTAAAGTTGCATGATACTCTATCCACAACTATTTATTTTACCAGTTCCCTATGATTGGACACATTGTTTCAATCTTTTGTACTTTTGTAATTATAAATGATACTTCAATAAATAAATGTGTAAATAAATGGTTTACAGAATTAAATTTGTAGAATAGAGCCCCAGAACTGGAACTGCTGGATTAAATAATATATGCACTTATAATTTTTATTCTTGACAAATAGAGGTTCTTTCAACTTATATTCTCAGTAGGAATGTAAAAAATTATACAAAAGCTCGTGTTTTCCCCACACTTATGCCTGTATAGTATACAATGAAACATTTTTATATGTACATTTTGTTAAGTAAAACATAAAATATTCTATTTTAATTTTCATTTCAGTAATAATGAGTTGAGTTCCTGTATACATTTGCATATATACATTTCTATTGAGTTATTTTTTATTTGAATCATACCAAATTTATAGACTATGCCTCAGTGACAAGTAAGATATTCGATGTTAAGTTTTGTTATCTAAGTATGCAATATATTTTTCTATTAGTTAATGTATTTTTGACTCTCCCAATAGTGATTTAAAGTTTTCTTTACATTAATCTTATACATATCATGTACAGTTTATTCCTAGGTATTTAATCTGTTTTGATAGCATTGAAATAGGGTCTCCTCTAAAATATATCTCTGTTGTCTAAACAACACATACACACACACACACACAGAGTATTGTCCTTCATGTTTTTGTAAACCATGTGTTCCTATCCTTTAAAGATCTTTTTGTCAAAATGTGGTTGGTTTTAAATCATTTTAAATACTCTTTATATGTTGAAAAATTTAACAATTTTTTTGAGTTCCCAATATTTTTCTCCAGTTGGTTATTTTCTTTAGACTTTGTATATAGTGGAGTCTGTCTTACTTAACTAAATTACTCTAATTTATTATTTTATTCTTTAATATCTTTTTGATATTTAAAAAAAACACACACCCGAAACATACCATGATATCCCCACCATGAAATAAATGGGATATCAAAATTGGGAAGAAAGATCTTCCCCATTTCTAGACTATTTTTTAAACTATCTTTAATATCTTTTTGATATTAGAAAAAACAACATGCAACATACCAAGATATCCCCACCATGGGGAAGATCAAAATGGGGAAGATCTCCCCATTTCAAGACTATTTTTAAAACTCCTTCATGATTTCTTCTGTAGTTAAGTTCCACAACACATCATGTGAAAATACTATCTTCAACATAACACAATTGACAGTGGGTTACCATCTTCACACAGTCTCATTTTCAAATACAGATTGACTGAATATCTTATTCCAAGTTAATGTCGGTTGAAGCACAAAGAAGATAATAAAGCTGGAGAAGAGAATAGCAAGCAGCTGTCTGGAAATCTCTGCTTCCAGTCTTCCCAGGGGATGCTGACAAAATGGTTCAACTATGCTCCAGCATCCAGGAATTGCTGCTGCCAAACACAAACCAGGAATCTTCCCCGTTGATATTTAGGTGGACATGAACAACTGCCATGAGGGAATGACAAACTGTAGTCAGGTCTGGGTATGGATAGCAAGGTTGAAATCCCAGAATTAAAATGTAGCCGACGCAAGCTTAATGCTGTGTTGGTCATTTAACTAACCACACAGTAATGCACATTTAAAACAACTTAAACAATTGAATTTAAACAATTGAATTTTGATATCCCATTTATTTCATGGTGGGGATATCGTGGTATGTTGTGGGGTTTTTTTTATTTCAACTTTTCAAACTATAAAACATCAGGAATGTATTTATATAAAGTATGAAATCTGCAAACACTTGACCTTTTTCAGATGGATACCAAATGTTCCTAATATTATTTACACCTAGGAATAATACTCCCTATTGATACAAAATGCCACAACTACCATTTGCTATACAAAGTATATAATAAATATATACAGTTTTTTCCTGGACTTCCTATTTTATCCATTGATATGTCTAGTCGCATGACTGTCACATTGTTTTATTCCTTGTAACTTAATAAGCATTCTAATATCTTGTAAGCTGTTAACAATCCCCACTACCAGTTCTATTTTTCCTGTTACTTTTTATTTGTATGTATTTTTTAGAAAATTTGAGAACCATCTTGACCAGTTTCAATTCCTATTTCTTATGTGAGTCATACTGAATTTATGAATTATACCTTAGTGAAAAGTGATGTGGGTGAGGTTTCCTTTCATTATCTAAGTACGCAATATATTTTGTTAATATTTTTTGCAGGTGCTTCAGTAGAGATTTAAAGTTTTCTTCATATCCATCTTATACATAGCACATACTGTACTCTTAGATATTTAATCTTTTCTAATAGTGTTAGTCTCTTCCAGAATGTCTCTGATTGTTGTCTGAATGCCAAATGATTTTATTCCAAAAACCTTACTGATTTTCTTTATTGCTTTTAAAGATTTTTGGTTTTGTGTTTTAGCAATTTTCCTGAACTTTCCAGAAAGACAATAAAATTATGTACAGTTGGTAGTTTTATCTCCTCCTTTCTAATATTTACAACTCTAATTTCTTCCTTTTGTCTAATAGTCAGGCTAGGACACCCAGTTCGATATTAAATAATGATGGTTATAGTGAATATTCTTGACTTTAATGCAACTTGTTCTAGTGTTTCACCATTAGCCATAATCCTAGTATTGGTGCTGAAGCAGGTATATTTTATTATGTCATAAAAATATCCATCTATTTCTATTTTAAATTTTTTATCAAAAATGGAATTTGAGTGTTATAAAATACTTTTTTTTTCTGGGTTGGGTTTTTTCATGGGTTTTTTTGTTTGTTTGTTTCCTTTATTTCAAATACCACTACTGAAAAAGTTCTTTGGGCTCTGTGGGATTCCCCACGCTCACGGCTCCTTTCCCCCACACTCACTTCCTTTCTCCCCACAGCAAATCTATTTCAAGGACAGTACTTTTTTAAATGATTAACTCTGAGTTCTCAATTGGCTCTGCAGAACCAGAGGACCTGTTTGCATCTGTTCATGTGGATGGAGTTTCTTTTATCTGACACCAGGTCTCCAACCACACTGAAACAAAGCATTTATCTACAGAGCTCAGCTAGAACCCCTTATCTTCAGTCTACTCCATTTCCTTTCCCTCACGCCTACCCCACACAGCCACATGGTTAAGGAGGAGGATAGTTCAGGCATGTTTTTACCAACTCCAAGCCCTATTTCCTATTCCTCCATAACTTTCCCACCCCATCCTCTGAACCCCACCCCCACCCCCAGGATTTCGTTGAGATTTCTCCCAACTGTTATCTGGAAAAAAGGTAAAACAAAAAAGGTTCAAGGTTTTGGCGCTCAGCCCAAGGGGCTCCATGTGCTGGGACACCAATGGGCAGGGGCTTCTGTCTCTCCAGCCCGCACCCGAGACACCTCCTGACCCCTGGCTGCAAAAGCAGGGGTCAGAAGGTGGTTCGGGTGTGGGCTGGCGAGGAGAGGGGCAGCGTCCCTGCATCTGGCAGAGCCCCGGGCAGCATCATTCAACCTGGCCACCAGCAAGCTTGCTGGGAGGAGCGAGGACTTTGGGGCAGATCCTGTGGGGTGGGGATGTGGTCACCAGTCACTAGGTTCTTGTCGGGTTCTGCACTTGGCAGCTGCTTATTCTTCGCGTTGCCTTTGACCATGTCACAGTCTCCTGAGACAAAGTACTTGTGCCCTTCCTGGAGTCTCTTCATGAGGAAGTCCGAGCCCTCAGGCTTTTGTCCTAGGCTCGGGTATTTGGCCTTTAGCTTTGCCTTTTCAGCTCTCTCCGGGAGAATACCTTCTTTCTCCTGCGTGTCCTGCATCTCGCTGGTCTCCTCCGCAGGGTTCTCTTCTCCTTGTTTCTGGGACATGGCGGGACTGGGGCTGTGGATTGCAGGGGCGCGGAAAGGCAACCGGCAACCCGAGAAGGGAAGGGAGAGGGGAACGGGGACAACCTGCGCCGCTGCTTTGGCTCCTGTCACCAGGGTTGCCCCATAAGATACTCTGTATTATCTTTGAAGATACCAAAAATGCTTTCTCACTCTTTTAGAATTAGGTTTGGTAAATTATATCTTCCCCCCAAATTGTCACTTTAATCTGGATTTTCAAATTTATTTGAATGGGATTGAGAATTGAACAAAGTAATCTCATAAGATTATTTGCATGTCCTTTTTGTGTGTGATTATTTTCTAGTAATTTCTTATTTAGAATATGTGTGCTTTTTCCCCTTCTTGATTGAATTAGATACAAATGTATCTACTTTTTCCCCCAAAGAAATAACAAATCATTTTATTTATCAGTTTTACCACCTTCTGATTCCTAATTACAAACCCGCCCCTCACCCTCCACTTTTTTTTAACATTAATGCCTTTCCTGTGCTTAATGTGGGTTGATTTGCTGCTTTCCTAGGCCTATAATGTCTCCCTTCCCTTGTCCCTGCTAGCATTCTGCTCATATTTATGTGACTCAGTTCAGAAAATAACTTCTCTGACACCTTCATCAGAGGCAGTCATACATTATCGTTGTTTACATAGCATCTGTGCACATTTAATCTGCACCATCTTTTATATTTTATCTTAATTTTCTCTATAGCTATCTTCTCTAACACACTGCTTGTAATATAATAGGACTCAAGAAATGTTTGATAATGAATCAATAATATAATAATCTCAGTGGGCATGTATAATGCTTACCTTTCTTATTCACCATTTTGATCTACAGCTAGGATCTACATAGCTGAAATTCAGTGAAATGAATTAGAGGCAATGGACCATGAAGATCATTCTTCTCAGAGAAGTTCTTCATGCTATGCATCAGTGACTTCCTAATATAGCTTCCTACTTTTGAAGAAATTGAACTGAACTTATGCTAGTTTATAACAAAAGAAAAGATGTCAAACTGTGGATCTGCTTATTCAGAGTAGACTGAATTTTATCAGGCTATTTCTCAACAAATATTTATAATTATTAATTCTCTTTGGACCAATTTTCTTTAAATATATACATACACACACACACAAACACACACACACACGCGCGCGCACACACACACACACACACACACACACACACACACATATATATTGGAGACGGATTCTTGCTCTGTCGCCAGGCTGGAGTGCAGTGGCATAATCTTGGCTCACTGCAACCTCCACCTCCTGGGTTCAAGAGATTCTTCCACCTAGCCTCCTGAGTAGCTGGGACTACAGGGGCATGCCACCACACCTGGCTAATTTTTGTATTTTTAGTAGAGACGGGATTTCACCATGTTGGCCAGGGTGGTCTTGATCTCTTGACCTCGTGATTCGCCTGCCTTGGCCTCCCAAAGTGCTGGCATTACAGGCGTGAGCCACCACGCCCGGCCTCTTTAAATATATTTTTATATTTAAGGCCATTCTTTGCTGCAAGTGAATCAGACTCCACCACTGATCTGATTTAATATACTTCACAAAAACTTCTTGTCCTTAGTCTACCTTTTTAAACTCAGCTCATTGAAGGCCCCAAATGTAGTTTGAGATAAATTCCTTTGACTAAAGATTACTTTTATCTCTCAAAATGGAAAGCTTTTGGAAAACGGGACACACTGTCAAATAATCAAAAAATAAATATCCAAATTCTGTGATGATTAAATTTATTTGACTCTTTTCATAAAGTCTCTGGTTAACTAGGTCTTAAGAAAGAAAAATTAAGCAGTATATTGAGCAAAAGACATTGGAAAAGGAAAGGCTGAGAGAATGAAAATTTTCTTGCCCTACAGATTTGCTCATCGCTATCATTTTTAGCTGTATAGCCCAAGCATTGCATTAATGTAAAGTCCAGGACATCCAGCGCATGTTGTTTAATACTCAAAAATCAATACAGCATCTATTTATTCAAATTAACAAATATTTATTAAATGGCTACTGTGTGTCAGGCACTGTTCTAGGTGCTTGGGATACATCTGTGAACCAAACATATTTTTATTCATGTCCTGTTGGAGCTCATATTCTACTGGGAAAAGTCAAATAATAAATAGTAATGATAATAAATAAACAATTTATAGGCTGATTGTGGTGGCCTATAACCCCAAGAGTTTGAGGCTGCAGCCTAGGAGACAGAGAAAGATCCTGTCTCTTAAAAATAAATAAATAAGAGAGAGAGAGAGAAACAGAGAGAGAGAGAGAGAGAGAGAGACTGGGCTTGGTGGCTCATGCCTGTAATCCCAGTACTTTCGGAGGCTAAGGCCAGAAATCCAAGGTGGCAGTGAGCCATGATTGCACACTGCACTTTTACCTTAGGCAACAGAGTGAGATCCTGTCTGAAAACAAAACCAAAAAAGTTATAAATAGTTTTTTTGGAGGGTGGTGAGTGTTATGGAAAAATGGAGCCATTTAAAGGGAAGATCACACAATTTAAGTGGAGAATCAAGGGTACCAGAAGTGGGGCAGGTTGCCATTTTAAATGAGACTGTCATAGTAAGCCTCACTGAGTAGGTACATTTGAGCAAAAATGTTTAAGTGTTAAGGCAGTTGACCATGTGACTATCCAGAGGATATAGTATTTTTAGTGCAAAGGCATAAGAGGGGGACATGCTTGGCATGTTCAAGAAGCACAGGGAGGCCAGTGTGGTCAGAAATGAGTAAGGGAGGTAAAGAGTAGAGAAAGGAGATGAGGTCAGAGAGATACTGGGGTGAGGGGTAGAGAGGCTGGGCTTGTAGGCATTGGCTTTTACCCTGAGTGTGATATAAAATCTTTGGAAAGCTTTAAGCAGAGAACCGATGTAATCTGACTTATGCTTACTCTGGCTCTCTATAAAGAGTAAACTGCAGTAAGGCAAGAGTAGATCAGGTAAGAAATTGTTGCAATAATCTCAGTAAAAATGATGGCTTCTGAACTGGAATAGGACCACAGGAAGTAGTAAGTGACCTGGTGTATTTTGAAGGTAGAGACAACAGGATTAGGCTGAGGTCAAACGAGTTAGGTGTGGGATATAAGAGAAAGAGAAGAAAAAAGGTTAACTCCAGAAATTTGGCCTGGAATCATTATTTAATGACAAGATAAAGACTGAAAGTAGAAAACTTTAGAGGGAGAAAACTAGAAGTCCCATTTGGGAAGTGTTAAGTGTGAGGTATCTGTTAGCCATTCAAATGGAGGTTTTTCAGTTAGGAATTTAGCATATAAGTCTGAAGTTCAAGAAAAAAGTCTGGGCTAGAGACAAAAATTTGAGAATCTATGACATAGAGATGGAATTTAACTTCACAAGACTGCTTGAGATGGCAAGGAAGGGAATGTAGACGAGAAAGAACTCAACTCTGAAGAACTTCAACATTGAGCATTTGGAGAGAAGAGGAGAAGCAAGTAAGAGGACACCCAAAAAGCAGCAACCAGTGGCGTGGGAGGAAAACCAAGAGAGTGTAGTGTCCTTGAAACCAAGAGAAAAAGTATATCTAGAACAAGCTTGTCCAACTCGTGGCCCATGGTTTGCATGTAGTCCAAGACAGCTTTGAATGTGGCCAACATAAATTCATAAATGTTCTTAAAACATCATATTTTTTTTTGCCATTTAGCTCCTCAGCTATTATTAATATTAGTGGATTTATGTGTGGCCCAAGACAATTCTTTTTTCAATGTGGCCAAGGGAAGCCAAAACATTGGATACCCCTGGATCTAGAAGGAAGAAGACCTTAGCTGTATCAGATGCAGCTGATATGTCAGGTAAGATGAGTCCTGAGAATGGAGCATGGCATTCAGCAGCATGATGTCATTGGTAACCACAGCAACAGTGGATCATGAAAGGACTAAAATCCTGATGGGAGGGGGTTTAGTAGGTAGAGGATGACACTGAGTTATAGACAACTATTTCATAGAAGTAGCTACAATTGCTATGTCTGCTTTACAAGTCCCAGAGAGATTTTGTACCCACCCAGGTTGATATAATAGTAGCCAGGGGAGCTGAGTTTGAATCCAGAATCTGCTCTTTGTGCCACTATCCCATACTACCTGCAATCTGCCCTCCTCACAGACATAATACTTCAGTGAAAGAAGTAGCATAGACTAGAAGTTTCCATTTATTTCTTGTTTTTTTGTGTTTTCCCACCAAAAATTCAGACAAGTGTCCCTACAGCCTTCTACAGAATAAGTTCTCTCACTTTCCACTTTCATCTTTCCTGGCCTTCTTCTTACTTTGATTGTGGAACCATTTATCATTTATCCTATTTCATCTGATACTCTCCTCTTTAGGCCAAAAAAAAAAAAAAAAAAAACTCCTGACTAGGTGTGGTGGCTCACTCCTGTATTCCCTGCATTTTGGGAAGCCAAGGTAAGTGGATTGCTTGAGCCCCGGAGTTCAAGACCAGACTGAGCAACATCGGGAGACGCGATCTCTACTAAAAATTAAAAAACAAAATCCTTTGATTACTTCTATTCCAAGTTACCATATTCACAGTTTCTACTTCACTGAATCCCAATTTCATGTCCCACTGACCTAAGAATCAATGTCCTTCAGTCTATTTCCACCACCCAATAGACTTTGTCTACTAAAACCTGTAGCAAGTCCACCACTGATTCTGCTTGGGAGGTAACGCACCTCATGTAGTTGGAAGATAGAGTGAAGAATCTTTGTGTGCATGTATATGGGTTGAGGGTAAAGGGAGTGGCAGGCAAGCTGAAAACCAAGAGGGAAATCAAAATCTCAGAGAAAGTTAGGTTTACTGTGACCTCCCCAGCAGGGCTGGCAGAAAATGAGTCCAAGGGTGGGAACAAACAATATGGTCCCTAGTGTGACAAAGACATGTACTGGACAATAGAGTTTCACATCACCAAGCTTACAGGTTTACAATGCAGGAATGGGGAGTGAGTTGGATAATCACAGACTTAGGCCAATTACATGGCAAGGAAGATTGCAAGA